TTGACTGATTACTGTCATTTTTATTTTTAAAAATAAACCATCTGGATTGTAAAAAATGGATCAGAGAGGAGAGAGTCTAGACAGGGTCATCAATTGAGAGGCAATTAAAATAATGACAATCCAGTGAGGTGACCAGAGGGACAATTCCAAGAGAGATTATGAGGGACGGATTCATAGAAATTGTGAATCTGGAATGGAAAGGAGCGAAGAGTTCAAGATGACACCAAAATTTAGGCAAAGAAGATGGTTGTGTTTGAGGTGGCATCAAAGTAACTTCCTATAGACAATGAAAAGCAAAGATTAGGTGACTTTCTTCCCCACCTCATACCAGCTATTTACAGTATTTGTGTTTATCATGAGAAAAGGAAAATAAAGGCAAATTGTCACCAGTTTATTGGTATACTCTAAGCCCTGCTGTGTCTTGAGCACTCTTGGGGGCAATACTCATGTTCCTTGTATAGTATACACAAAACTCAAAATATTTTGGAGATAGTAGCCTTGTCGCTGATGAGAATGCTTTAACATACTGATTTTGCTTCTATATCTTCATTTTGGTAATGTACTGAAATATCAGTATTCATTTAAATTGGAAAAATATTAACCAAGTGTTAAATCTGATTAAGTCTAACAAGATGGTCAAGGCTGTATTTTTTAATGTTGTCTTTCATTTGTCTTTGAAACTTGAGTAGGCCTAGACTTGACAAAGAAAGATTCTGGACTGTATCTATTTAAGATTGTCAAAGATAATGCTTGACAGAACAGCTTATCTGCCTACTGGTGGCAGAAATGCTGTAAATTGTTCAGAGGACTGCCAAGCCATTAGGATAGATACCTTGATAGCGAATGATGGACAAAGTGCTACTGACTTGCTCTGAAGGAGATGCTTTTTAAGCTGTTTGAAGCGAATATCGAATATCAGTAATTTGGTTAGGGTTTATTTATCTGGATTAATTTGCAGTGACATCTTGTGAAAAGAAAGCAGCATCCAAAGACACAGCATGAAGAAAAAGTAAATGTTCTTTTTGTTTGTTTGTTAAATATTCTTGTGATTGAGTTAATTTAAGATAACTAACAATTCTAACAAGCAAAGAAATCCCCCCTCCTTCCACCTCTCCCAGCAAAGCGGGTTGTAGACAGTCATCTGTTTGTTCAGCCAATATTTACTGAGCATTTCCTCTGTGCCAGGCACTTTGCCAGGTAGGGGATACAGTGTGGAGGAAAAAAGAAAAGCCCAATAGCCTTCAAAATATGGTTGCAGATGATTATTTAGGTTAAGAAATATTGTCAATGAATTTCTGACAGCAGTCAGTCTTTTCTTATTTATTCCCTAACGTCACAAAACTCCCATTGTGGGACATCATACTCGTGGGAGTGGCTATGTGAACCTGTACCTGGCTTTGAAAGATGGAGAAAGACCTGGAACTTGAAGGTCGTCTACCAGTTTGTGCGAGTTGCAGACGGGTTCCCTGCTGCTGTTCCTGCAGGCTGTCTTTTTCTCCTTCTTTTAAAGTTCAGACGTTGCTTTGAATAGTGGGGAGAAGGAACATATGGCCTCAATTCGCAGACATAGAAAAGGCTTGTGGTTCACCCCCACTTTTTCTGTTGTAATTGGATTTAGAAAGCAGGTGGCTGACACTTAATCACAGAAGGAAAGTCTTTTAGGGCAATGGCAGAAATCCCTTCACACAAAAATTCTAAAACTCAAGATATAGATGAAAATAAAACCTTGAAGGAAAATTATGTTTTGGAAAGGCAATTGAGGCTATATTAAATCTTCCTTTTTTGCTTCCTCTCTCCCCTATCTAATTTGTTCATAAAATTTTCCTTTCAGTCCACATGACTCCAGAACATACAAATAAAATGTGAAACATCCATTCCACCATCTGGGTGCCTTTTCTACTGGATGGCAAAATTATAAGAATATGGAAATATTTGTAGTTTTATTTTATGTCATATACATGAGATGCGAAAATAAAATCTTGGAGGTAGAAGGGATTTTAAAGATCATTTTAACTCCTCATTTTGTCAACGGAGAAACTGAGGCTGCTTGCCCAGTATCACATAGTAACTTTTAACGATAATAAAGCTAGGATTCGGCCAGGTGTGGTGGCTCATGCCAGCACTTGGAGAGGCCAAGGCAGGAAGATTGCTAGAGGCTATGAGTTCAAGACCAGCCTGAGCAACATAGTAAGGTCTAGTCTCTACAAAAAAAAAAAAAGAAAAAGAAAAAAAACAAATAAAGCTAGGATTCAGGAATCATTTTTCTGATGCAAATCCACATCCCTCCAATCTCTATTCCCATTTATGATGGCCTGGGGCTTTCAGGTTTTTAGCCAGCTATTTGGGATTATGTAGACCAAGCTTTTAGGTCACACCTTCCATCTTCTGGGATGTTGAGTAAGATTTCACTGAATGGGAAAATATTTGTTTAGGAAGGGACAGCTATCTGAACAGATCAGAAATGAACCAAAGAGTTCTATAACTTTTACCTCTCTTTGACCCTATAGTTAGAGTTTAAAACTCAGCTTGTCTACAGAAATCCAAAGGTGTAGTTTCATTGATTGTGAATACTCTTGCTTCACAGCCCTCATATGTTTTTGTTTTCAGGAAGGTAAACAGAGGCAGCCGGCCAAATACAGAGATCTGTTCCCTGCTATGAACTGGGATGCTTTCTGGCTCATCTAAAGTAAAGTGATAACTGATGTCCAGGATGTTGACATGCTAGTCTCTCTTTATCAAATATCTTTCCTATATTCTCTTTTTAAAAAAACAATGCTAACTAGTTATATGTAATTTAATACTTAAATAACATTGGTACAAATCTCCATCATACATATGGAAAAACTTAGCATCCTTTTCACTATGAGGATTCTTGGGGGGGCTTATGTTAATCCTGGTCATCTCTGGCTTCAATTTTTCTTCTACTGTTAAATTTATGATCCCTGCTGTGCTGCCATTCCTTTTCTGCACATGGCACCATGATACCTTATAACACCATTCCGTTCCTGTATTTCCCCACGGTACTGGGGACTCAAGCTTTCTGTGTACCAAATTACCCCAAAACTTAACGACTTAAAACAAAAATAAATGTTTGTTATTTCATACCATGTCTGTGCATCAGGGATCTGAGAGTAGCTTAGCTGGGTGGTCCTGGCTCAGGTCTCTTAAGAAGGTGCAGTCAAGATGTCAGCCAGGGCTGTGATCATCTGAAGGCTGGACTCCGAGATGGCACAGTCATGTGGTGCTGTAGTTGGCCTGTGGCCTTAGCTCTGAATCCATAGAGTTCTCTTTCCTCAAAGGAAAAATTCAGCTCTCTTTTTGTGTTTGGCCACATAGATCATGCTCTGAGGACTTGACCTTTTTTCTTTCTTAAAAGGACCTATAAGGCTAAATGGAATAATATGTAGAAGCTTTGAAATCCGTAAGGTGAGAATGTTACATAAAAATTTAAATTTCTCTATTTCACATGTGCACATTGTGTGCTTAAGTTAGATAGTTGGATGATTAGATGAGAAAGAAAGAAAAAACATAACTTTTATAAAGACAAGGTTTCTATTTTAGAATTTTCATTTCTAGTTTAATTTTCTAGAAAACTTGTAGCATCTGAGAAATTTCTAATGATGGAAAAAGAAAGAGCCCTACTCAGCAAAATAGTTAAAAAACAACTAAAACCTTTAGATTTGGGGGAAAATTAGCAATTTTAATATAGTTTTAGTTGTAATGAGAGCATAAATAGTTTATTTTAAATAATATAATGCATCTAAATCTTATAGTAATTAGTATTCAGCAAAGATTGCTAATTTAAAATGTTTTGTATTTTTCTAAAACCATTTATTTACATTGCCTAACACTTATACCTTTTCTAATCCTTAAGTTTTGAAACATGAAGGTTTTGCCTATAATTTTCATAGTTGTTGCAGAGAATAAGAAATGATTTAGGCATTTAAAAGATATATTTTAATTGAAAATTATTTACATACTTTAAACTTGAAAGTAACTGGCATTCAGTATTTATTTATTTAACTTTTTTGAATGTTTTTCTTTTTGGTAGAGATGGGGTCTCATTCTTGCTCAGGCTGGTGTTGAACTCCTGAGCTCAAGTGATCCTCCTGCCTCAGCCTTCCAGAGTGCTAGGATTACAGGCATGAGCCACCATGCCCTGTTGGCATTCAGTATTTAATAATGATATTAAATAAGTTTTAAAACATGCTGTCTTAGTCCATTTGGGCTGCTATAACAACATGCCATAAACAAGGTAGCTTTTAAACAACAGAAATTTATTTCTCACGGTTCTGCAGGCTGGAAAGTCCGAGATCACCAGCAGATTTGGTGTCTGGTTATGGGGTCCACTTTCTGGTTCATAGATGGCCCCGTTTTGCTTCATGACATGGTGGAAGGGGTGAGGGAGCTCTCTGGGGTCTCTTTTATAAGGGCACTAATCCCATTCCCATGGAATCACTTCCCAAAGGCCCCACTTTGTAGTACCATCACATTAGTGATTAGGTTTCAACATGTGCATTTTGTGGATGCAAACATTCAGACCATGGCAACACTGAAAAAATTTTTTGAATGAATGTGTAAGATTTACTTTTTATATCTCTGACATGTTGCTATTTCTGTAGTCATTTAACAATGTGATTAATAGAGGAATTTGGAGAGAATTTTGCAAATGTGACTTCAAGGGTAGTTTATTTCAAGTAGGTATTTAAGAAACAATGAACCTAATACTTGAACTGCGTGTACCTTTTTCTAGGGAGCTTCAAGTTAAATCAGAAATATTCATCAGGGAAAAATGAACTGGGTTATCCATGTCTCAAGGGTACAAAGAAATAGAACAGCCCTCTCCTACCTACCATCTCTGTGTGTGAAGTCAAGGAGATTATTTTACTTATTGGTTTAATTTAAAGGGACTTATTTACAAAATATATATCTATGACAGTTCGATGTGCTTTATTTTTCTGCAGGACTCAATTACTGGAATTGTCAACTCTGCCGATTTATGTGCACATTTCTCTTCCACTATGAGCAGACCAATCGTATTGCACATTTGTCTGGCTTTCTGTAGCCTTCTACTTCTCAACTTTGCCACACAATGTCTGGCCTTTCCCAAAATGGAAAGGAGTGAGATAGCACATGTTCCTGCAGAAAAAGGGCAGTTTGAGAAGACAAACACAGATGACCTAGAAAATAGCTCTGTTACCTCAAAGCAGACTCCTCAAATGGTGGTCTCTGAAGATCCACTGATAGTGTCAGCAGGACCAACAGCTGTGTCATTAAATAAAGTATTCTTGATTAACAAAGAAACCCATTCTGTAGGAGCTGGGCTCCTGCAGCCTAATAACCCTGGTGTTTATACTGCTACTGAGCCAGCGGTCCCAGCAGGTGAAAAAGTGTTTGGTTCCAGCCAGCCAGAGGGAATGTCTCCTGAAAGCAGACTTTCCAAGGCCATGTTAACCATTGCTATCACTGCAACTGCTTCTCTGAATATTGATGAAAAGGAGGAACCCCTGGGGAGTACCAACATTCAGCCCATTGTAGAAGAGACAACAGAAGCAACACAAGGTTTTCTGAATTATGTGGATAATCAATTGTTTGCAACTGAAAGTCAGGAAGGAGTTAGTTTGGGACATTCATCTTCATCCTATGTGAATACTAAGGAAATGCTAACCACCAATCCAAGGACTGAGAAATTTGAAGCAGACTCAGACTATAGGACAACTACTTTTCCCGGTGCTGCGTCCATGGCAGGCACTGATCCTGAAAGCCTCACACCTGATAGGGAGCAGTCTTTGCAGATGACAGCTGATGATACTCAGGCTACTGCCACCAAGCAATCATTCATGACTTCCAAGTACACACTCAGTGTTGAGCCAGAAACTGACAGTCTGCTGGGAGCCCCAGAAGTCACAGTGAGTGTCAGCACAGCTGTCCCAGCTGCCTCTGTCTTAAGTGATGAGTGGGATGACACCAAATTACACAGTGTAAGCCAGATAAAGACTCCAAAGTCTGGAGACAGTGCAGAGGCTCAGATGAGAGTGGAAATGTCCCAGACAGCACAAGCAAGCCATGAGGATGTGGAAGGGGGCCAGGCTTTGACAGAGGCTTCAGAGGTGGCTCTGGGGCTGCCTGAAGGGGAAACACACATGGGGACAGCCCTGCTCATAGTGCAAGGGGATGAGCGATCACCTGCCTTCACTGATCAAAGTTCCTTTACCCCCACAAGTCTGATGGAAGATGCAGAAGTTTCTGTTGTGAACCTGTTCCAAAGTACAGGAGACTTCACAGAATCCGCCAAGGAAAGAGATGCCATGTTCTTCTTAGAGACCACTGTTTCCATCTCTGAATATGAGTCTGAGGCATATCGGCTGTTGGGAAATACATTGAAAGGTAAAAGAAAGAAAGAAAGAAAAAAAAAGAAAACCACAACAGGCTTTGTTTAATTTTGAATCTTTTAATTTGGTCTTATGGTTTCTTTTTTTTTTTTTTTATGGGCACTCATCTTTGAAATATGGTTTCTTTTTTAATTGGCAATTTAGAAATAGCTTAATGTTTTTTTTTTATTTCAACACATTATGTGGGTACAAATGTTAAGGTTATGTATATTGCCCATGCCCCCCTCCCCCCTCGAGTCAGAGCTTCAAGCGTGACCATCCCCCAAACGTTGCACATTTCACTCATTATGTTTGTATATACCCATCCCCTCCTCCCCCTCCCGACACCCGATAAATGTTATTCCTATATGTCCACTTAGGTGTTGATCTGTTAATACCAGTTTGCTGGTGAGTACATGTGGTGCTTGTTTTTCCATTCTTGAGATACTTCACTTAATAGAATGGGTTCCAGCTCTATCCAGGAAAATACAAGAGGTGCTATATCATTGTTTCTTAAAAGGTTAATGTTTTAATGAAAGGCAAAAGTGTGCAAATAAATCATGTATTTTATATAAAAATTACACCCCAAAATAAACCCTGCATATAGACCAGTAGTCTTCAACTGGGATGGGTTCTGCTTTCCCCCTCCCCCAGGGCACAGGAAGCAGTGTTTGGAGACATTTTTAGTTTTTATAGTTAAGAGATGTTACTGGCATCTAGTAGGTAAAGGGCAGGGATGTTGCTAAACATCGTAGAATACGTAGGACAGCCCCCAACACAACATTATTATTCAAGCCAACATGTTAATGTCATTGAGGTTGAGAAACTCTGATATAGACTAATATTTGTATAATGTTGTATTATGAAAATATATAAATGTACAAAAATGCAAATGATTAGCTGTATGTTTAAATGGTATAATAAACAGTGTTGAATACTTGTATTCACATTGCTGTAAAACATACTCACATCACTTATATTTCTTACAAAAAAGCTTTAGGTAAATACTGTATTTATCTCATAGTATTAACCGTATGAGTTCTCTGACTTTGCTTTCCCCCCAAAAAAACATCTAGAGATAAGGGCGGAAAGATAAATTGTATGCTGGCTTGGTTCTGCATTTTCAATTTCCTACTTTCTCTTGGTATCTACGCCTGTGAATGTTATAAGCTGGCAAGCCTTATATTTGTTGCTGCTGGAAAATGTTTTTCTTTTATTATGTTTAGTTGGTCAGATAACAACAGCAGGAAGGAAATGCTCAGTATAACGTGTCCATGCTCATTTCAAATTGTTTTAGAACATGTACAATGTGTTACTTCAGCCAGGTAGCCCAATTAATGGAAAATATTAAATTAGTAATATGTTTTATGAAGTGTTACTGAGACTGAATTAAACTGATGAGACATCATTGATCGATGAATGATAAAAGAAAGATTGAATTTTACATGTTTAATTCACTTTTTAAAGACCAAAAGACCTCGTGTGCTGTTTTCATAAAAGCTTCCAGAAAATGTTTTGTAAGTTGGTTTTTTACATAGAATTAGAGGGTCCACATGGCCGGGAAGATATTAGACATGACTGAACAAGAAATTTACTTAAGTTCTTTGTAGGGCTTGTATTTCTGGAGCGTTAAGTCATATGGCCCCAGATTATTCATTGCATAATTGAATCCATGATTCTTATGTACTAGACTTGCATGAGTTTGTATTAATACGGCCTAAAACATAAAATGGTTTTGGTAATTTTAAAAAATTATTTTGATTATTGAATATACTTCTTATTTATAATCACCTCACTAAAGTACAGTCTTAATAGGTGACATCTTTTTATTCCTAGCACACGGCACAATGTGGCACATGGTAGGTACTCAATGAATATCCATTTAATGTATTAATAAATGAAAATAGAGAACAGTTCAGATTGGAATTGTCCAATTAAATGCCTATTGTCCTTGTCCAAATCCATCAGACAGCTTCTAAATGTTCTTTGTAGAGAGAGGAATAGACAACTAATTCCTTTTGTTTTATTTTTTTGTCCTATAGAGTTAAAAAGAATGTGAAAGCTTGCAATTATTGGCAAGAGTAGTTATAGAATAGCCGAAAAAGTATTACTAATAATTTCAGATGATTATAAATATTTTTTTAGAGTAAACGACTCAAATACCAATCAGTTTAGGGCCCAGGGACCACTTAGGAAATTATCTTCTTCAGAATATGCAATGATTTCATGATGTTTTTAGATATTATTAAGAGATAAGTTACCTTGAAATTATAGTCAGTCTTCTGAGTCAGCAAGTTCTTCAACTGGTTCAGCTGAAGATCAGGTTTTAAAAATAATCTATAATTATTATTATATTATTTTTTCCTATAAGAAGTAGAAAGAATGAGATATGTTGGGAAATTTTTGAAGTTATTTAAAAAATTCCCATACTGCTTCTAGTTCTCACTCTTCTTTCCGTAACAGCGATCACTTATTCAAAGTGTTATGCATTTTAAAATTTCTTGACATTTCATAAAGCCATGAGCATAGATGGTGCATTTATTATTACATACTTTTTCTCAGAAGTATTCATTATGCTTTCAAAAATGAAGGCAGTGTGGAGAATACATACTGCTTAACATGACAAAGCTATGTTTTATTCTCTTCTTTTGGCAAATAGAGCATTGTCCTAGCTGCTGGAGATATGAAAAGGCAGTGAATCCTGGCTTTCAAGAGATTTACAATCTTTTTGGAGAAAGGAAAAACTTAATGGTATAAAATACAAATATGGAGCTCATGTCAAAACCTTACCCTAACTCATATTGTTTGTCCTATAACCTTGTGTATCGATCCATCAAAGGTAAACATCTCTTCAATTCAAAAGAAAAACAGTATAAACTGGATGGATATCAAGAAAAGGAACTGTTTATACTGAAGAATAAGCAAAAACATACTATTTAAAACAAATAAATTATTTTCAAGGAAAAATGTTTTTAAGTGATAGGATATATTGTGACATCATTAACAAAAACTTAGAGAAATTTTTTTTTCAGCTATCCCTAGAACGTTATTTTTCATTGTATAACTCACTGGCCTTGCTAAAATGCTTTGTATCTATAGCCAGTGTATACAAAAAGAGAGGTAATAAGATCTTCTAGAAATTAAGTTTTTAGTAATTGCTCAATACAGGATTTGAAACTTCCAGCATAGCTCCTTCAATAAAATAGTCTTTAATAATGTATTTGAGGGGATTGTAATGTTGTCAAGAAAGTGGACCTATGAGAGATACATCATACCCTGCAGGTCTATTTCATTTTCTTTTCTGATTGAAAAGCAAATGCAAATCTTCTACAGAGGCCACTCCAAGTGTTCCTCGGACATAATACATTGGCTCCGTGACCTTAGGCAGTTTCCTTAGCTTCTCTAAACCTAAGTTGTTCTGTGAAATGGACTGATAATAGCTGAGGTTTACTGAATACTTACCAAGTACCAGGTGTGTACTAAGTGTTTTACATGTGTTATCTGTTGTAATTTAATTTTTGTTACAACTCTATGAGATAAAAACTATTATTATCTCCATTTTATAGCTGAGGTACCTCAAGGCCCAGAGATGTGAAGTAATTTGTTTAAGATCACACAGCTAGAAAGTGACTGAGTGAGAATTCAGACCCAGGCAAATTGGCTCTAAAGCCTGCATTCTTGGCTACTATGATACAGTTTCCAGGGGATGATGCCTACTTCCCCGTAGTACACGAGACTATAAAATAAGATCATGTACAACATACACTTAGCATGGTGTGCGTATGACACATGGTAGACACTTGGTAGACGTTAGTTATTGGAATTATTATTCTTGTGTTTTAAAATGCTAACTTCCTTGACTCTTCTTAATATACTATATACAAATGTTTCTGAAATTTTTTTTTTTTTTCTGAAAATTTTTGAATGTAACCCCTTTGTTCTGTATACTTTGTTTCTTAGTGTCTGAAAGGGAGCTCAGCTGTTGATCTTCCTACTTTGTTTTGGATTTTATTCTTATATATATATATAAACTTCTTTATCTGTGTCTTAGATCGATTCCTGACTCCTGAAAGCAGCAGCAGGGAAAGCATTTATTTACTGGCATTTTATGTCTGACTTCTCCCTTTGCTTTCTCAATTCCTGAAATAGCTATCTGCCCCGCCCCCAATTTATTAATTATATAGTGATTTTTTTAATTATAAGGATTTGTTCTATTTTAAAATGTTTCCCCCCTTTTAAGACATCATCACTCAAGAGATGACAACAGCCGTTCAAGAACCAGAAGCCACTTTATCCTTGGTGACGCAAGAGCAGGTTGCTACCCTCGAGCTTACTGGAGACACTGACGAGACGGAGGAAGGAAAGGAGTCGCCTACTCCTGAGTCCGATGTTCCTGGTGTTACTCAGCTGTCAAGAAAATGGGAGCCTCTGGCCACTACAGTGGCAACTACAGCCGTCCCTTTGTCTTTGGAAGTTACTCCTGCTGCAGAAGGTCTGTAAGGGAGGGAGTTGTTTGTTATATTTGGGATTTGCAGGGCCACAGGACAGAGAGACAGAATCACCGAGGCTGTAATTATCAAAAGGAGTTTTATTGTCTAGCTCGAGCTAGGGTCTAAGCCCCCAGAGTGCCAACGCAGTGGCCTCTTCTTCAGGCATAGACCCTCCTTTGTGTGCTAGTGACCCTTTTATAACTAAGTTGTTTATACACTGATCATGCATCCGCCCCCACAGTGATTCTTACTTCATCCTGTCCCTAATAGGCTCTAACCTGTTCCAGGTCCTAGCTGAGAGATTCTGGTTTCTGTGTTTTTTTGTCTTTTTCTTCTGCATCCCATAATGTACTCATAATGCCTTGCAGTTAGCAAACAAGCAGTAAACAAAAGCTGGAAGGTGTCCATTGTCCTTATAGCTCAGTATCTTACATATTCTCATATTCTCATTCTCTCTTTCGGGAGTGGTTCTCTTCTGTAAGTTGGTAAAGAATAGAATGAGTGAGGCAGTGGGTCCTGCCACCAGTGTACACACACACCCTGCCTGGAAAGGAAGGTGAGCTCTCTCTTGTTTGAGAGGTGTGGTGCAGCCCAAAAGGATGAGGGCTTAGTTCCCAGGTAAAATCTGGTGGCTCCTCTATAGGTCCACAAAGGCCAGACCTCCTGAGGACACTCTCCTTGTTTGGTAACTGTGCTGCTGGGAGCTGGCACAGGGTGAGGTCACAACAGCGAGGACCTGGATGTGAACCCCAGTTTTGGTCTCACTAGTACTATGGCCTCAAGCAAGTTTCTTAACTTCTGTAAGGCCTGGTGTGATTCTCTCTAAATAACACTTACCCGTCTTATAGGTTATTTTAAGGATTTGAAATAATGTCTACAAAATGCTTTCTATATAAATGCTCTGATCTCTTAAGGACAGTGATGTTTTCAAATCTGTGTTCAAGTTACTACTGCGTTCAAGCTACTACTATTCTAGAGACTTTAGGAAATAAATGGCTATATTTGGCTGCTTTGAAATTGAGCACATTCCAGACACAGATCTGGGCTCTATTCTGACTTCGTTTTGAGAAAGACGCTCAGTCTTTTCAAAGCAGTTTTTGGCATACATTTTAATACATTTTTTGTTAAATCTTTTGCTTTTGGTAGTACATAATATATAAAATCCTGCTATATCCATAATATTGCCAATAGAATAAGTGGGAGATTAAAATTTAAAAACCAAGTTCTGATTTGTGACAGTATATTTTCCTGGAAGGTAAAGTGTTTGCTTTGGGGAGGTGGATTGATGCAATATGGGAAAGCAGAGCTGACCTAAGGGCCAGACTTACTGTATGTGAGATATTAGTTTCATCAATCATTTCTTGTGAAAGCATGTGTTTACGTTTCCCATATTGATCATCTTGTGGGTCAAGTCTTGTCTCTTGTGTTTGGCAGACCTAATGGACCCAGTCACGGGGCCAGATGAGGAGTTCACACCAGTTCTGGGTTCTCCAGTGACGCCCCCAGGAATAATGGTGGAGACACCCAGCCTTTCCCCCACACTTCCTGCTTCTGAGGCATCCTCTGAGAGAAGCACTGTTGCTCCATCCATTAGCCGAGCTAATACAGCTGCCTCGTATGGCCTGGACCAACTCGAATCCGAAGGTATCCATGCTGTGAAGGGGATCTTTTCTAGGACTGATGGAGTGAGTCACTGAGCAAATGTCTTAGAGAAAAGATTAAGTAGAAGTGTGTTCAATCTGCAGTGTAGATCAGTGGTCAGTAAACTATGGCCCAGCCAGATCTGGCCTGCCACCTATTATTGCATGGACTGTAAGCTAACAATAGTTTTTACATTAAAAAAATTTTTGAATTTTACCTTTTTTGAGTTTTTACATTTTTAAATGATGGAGAGAAATCAAAAGAAGAAGAATATTTTGTGACATGTAAAAGTTATATAAAATTCAAATTTCAGTGTTCATAAATAAGGCTGTATTGAAACAGCCACATTCATTCATTTACATACTGTCCATGGCTACTTTAGTGCCACAGCAGCAGAAGTGAGAGTTGTGACAGAGACTAAATGGCCCATGAAGTCTAAAATATCTATGTTGTGATCCTTTGTATAACAAGTTTGCTGGCCCCTAGTATATGTCAGTGGTTCTCAACTACAGTTGAACATTAGAACTACCTTGGAGAGCTTTTATATTTTTATTTTTATTTTTATTTCAGCATATTATGGGGGTACAAATTTTAAGGTTTCAAATAATGCCCTTTCCCCCCCTCCCCCCACAAGTCAAAAAACTCCAGTGCCAGAGTTCCTCTCCCAGTGATTGAGATTAAGACAGCATGGGGGGTGGGATCTGGAATCAACATTTTAAGAGTGCCTTAGGGGACTCCAGTATTCAGGCTGGATTGAGAATACTAGCTTTAAATGGAGAAGTTGAGTTTCCCCACCAGATTTTCTCGTATGGAAGTTTTAATGTTGTTTTTATTTTAATAACATTGCTCTGGTTGTTAATGCTAAGTTATTCGCCCTTCGTATCATCTCTGGGTTAGAATGTTTCACTATGTGGAGACAGGCAAATATACTGTGAGAAATCCATGCCAAATTATACTTTCCAAGACACTGGCTTTGAGCATGAGGAAGAAACTTGGGGGCACGGCTGTACATTAATAAATAAGAGTAGAAATATGACCCATAATTAATCAAGTAATCAGCATTTTAGCAGGTAAACAGTGCCTGGCTGGACGTGCAAAATGTCCAGAGATTTGTAGTGCAGTTTCTTAAACTAATTGGTAACACGGGCAAGCTTTGGGCACTAAATTAGCCATGTGTTAATGCCATAAAGACATGGGATGAGCTGTTATTTTCTACAGCTCTACAGCAGGGAAGATGGTTCAGCTAGATTTGCAGCAGACTCTTCCATGGACTTTCAGGGTAACGCTGGTGGTCTTCTGACAGAGAAAAATGACAGTTGAGGAGTAGTGTGGAGAATTCCACAGTGGAATCCTGGTTTAAGAAACAGATCAAAGTGGGCTCATAGGCTAAGAGCTCTTGCACTCCACATGAAGGTAAACACCAGGTGACTTTGAGTTTAGTGTCTCATATTAACTGTCTGCTCTTTTCGATGCCATCTGGAAGAAGCAGGTTTCCTCAAATTAACGCGAGTTGGAGATGACAGCTTTACCCAGCAGGGCTCATTAAATCAGAGAAAAAAAAATTGTATTTGTGAATAATCCATACTTGTGAAACTGCAATAATTTTCTAAATATAGCAGATGATGGCAGTTGTATTGAAATATGTTAGAATTTTCCTGACATGCCTAAGATGTCCTGGTGCTTTAGTTCTTTTCTTCTACACAATTCAACTTTAGCTACTTTTTTGATAATATATTTTGTTAGTTTTTGGCCTAAATTATGATCCTTGTCAAGATTTACAAAAGACATTCTTGGTTAAAAGATATTCTTTCTGTTATATTGCTGAGGTTAAGATAAGATTTTGAATTAGCATTCATTTCTCCTGAATATCAAGGAATGCCGCTTACATTTAATTAGTATATATTAATAATGTCACAGTTAGTTTTATGCTGCTGTATCTATTCTCTGGAAGCTAAATTGACTACACTTACTTGAACAGATAAACCTACTAGACTCGTGGATGTATTCGAGGCCTCCATGTTCAATGTGTATTTTCCCACCTTGCCCAGGAATATATGTGCAGCTTGAGGCTTTGACTTGGTGAAACATTTTAATTATACCATAGAATTATACCCAGATGGAGATAATTTATTCTTATCTAGAACAGTGTATTAGTTATATCAAGTTATCTGCCTTTCAAGTTTTAATCTCTGAGATGTGTTTATGTTATTTTAACATCTTCCTTCCCGCTAGAGGACAGGGGCCTTTCTCCAAGGACATGAGGTATTTTTCTCAATGGGATATGGAAAGGGACATGCCTTTATTAGACACCAGACACCCAAGAAAGTGAACCTTTGTGGAAATTTCTGAATCTACTGTCCTATTTATTCTTTAGGAGATAACTTACAGCCAAAATCAGTCTAAAAATTATATCTACTTGTACCCTGTCTTCTTCCCCCCTTTACAACTCTACAACATGACTAAGAGGCTGTATTAGTTTTTTAGGGCTGCCATAATGCAGTGCCACAAACTGACTGGCTTAAAACAGCAGAAATTTATTCACATGCAGTTCTGGAGCCGAGAAGTCTGAAATCAAGGTGGAGGTAGGGCCGTGCTCCCTCCAAAGCCTCTGCAGTAGGATCCTCCCTTGCCTCTTCCAGCTTCTCATAGCTCCAGATGTTCCTTGGCTTGTGGCAGCATAACTCCAATCTTTTCACGTGGCCCTCTGTGTCTCTGTGCCCAAAATTCCCTTGTTTTACTATTTTGTTAATTAAAACAATTTTTTGGCCGGGCGCGGTGGCTCACGCCTGTAATCCTAGCACTCTGGGAGGCCTAGGTGGGCGGATTGCTCGAGGTCAGGGGTTCGAAATCAGCCCGACAAGAGTGAGACCCCGTCTCTACTATAAATAGAAAGAAATTAATTGGCCAACTAATACATATAGAAAAAATTAGCAGTCCCAGCTACTCGGGAGGCTGAGGCAGCAGGATCGCTTGAGCCCAGGAGTTTGAGGTTGCTGTGAGCTAGGCTGACACCACGGCACTCACTCTAGCCTGGGCAACAAAGCAAGACTCTGTCTCAAAAAAAAAAAAAAGAAAAAAAACAAAACAATTTTTTTTTTAGAGACAAGGTCTTGTTTGCTTTGTTGCCTAGGCTGGAGTGCAGCGGCATAATCATAGTTCACTGCAGCCTTGAACTCCCAGGCTGACGTAATTCTCCTGCCTTAGCTTCTCAAGTAGCTGGGGTTACAACCGCATGCCACCATGCCTGGCTAATTTTTCTGTTTTTTTGTAGAGATGGGGCCTTGCTATGTTGCCCAGGCTGATCTCAAACTCTTGGCCTCAGGTGATCCTCCCACCGTGGCTTCCCAAAGTGCTGGGATTATAGACGTGAGCCACTGTACTTGGCTCCCTCATTTTGTAAGGATACCAGTCATTGGATTAGGGCCCATCCTAATGACCTATCTTCACCTGATTACATAGTCTAAGATCCTGTTTCCGTATAAGGTCACACTCACAGGTACTGCTGGTTAGGACTTAAACATAGCATTTTGGGGACATACAACAGAGGATCTGTTTCTGACGAGTTTGCCAGCTGGCTCTGAAGACACATATGCTCTGGAACACCTACCTGAGTGATGTGAATTGGTAGAGGGGAAGAAGTTTTGGTGGGTTTTATATTTCTTAGTCACTGAAGAAAGCCTCCTTCTGTAAGTGCATGCCACCATGTGCACATTTCAGTAAGTCTTTTGTCAGCAAAAATGCAGTTTGATTTTTGAAGGATAGTGGTTTATTTTTTCACATTGCCTGATACATTTTACTTCTATGTATAATTTTTTTTTGAGGAATAGATGTTTTCAGAATGATGAAAAATGCATCATACTCATCTCAGGCATGACTCTACTAGAGCTGTATTTAGCATCTTTGAAATACAAACATGACAAAAATAGTCTAATTGTTTATTCAAAATAGGATAATGGAAGATTTTATACGTAGATTTATTTATTTATAACTGCATAAACTAATTTTTGGACATGTTGTCTGTATAGGTTGAGTTTCTTCTCTTGTTGAATATTGGTGTCTTCATCTGCTCCAAAATACCAACTCAAAATTTCTACTCTTGAAAACATACTTGGAATTTTTTATTTGAGTTAGCTGTCTTTAAAACATTTTAATACTAATATTTCTTACTTAAAGAAGTTCTACTTTCTGTATATTAGAAATCCAACTGAGGATATCTATTTACTCTGAATAAAGCAAACTTATTTTATTCTTTTGTACACTCCCATGGAAGATGTGCTGTAAAGTTGTGACAATAATACAGTAGAATGGAAGGTTATTGCTTTAACAATTCAATATTGAGAAAAATCTGTATGTTCAGGTACTAGGTTTCTAAGAAAACGTGGGCAATAGGAGTACAAAAACAGAGATTTCTCAGACCATGTGATTAAGTCTTTCAATCTTCCCTCCCACTCCTGGCACTTTCTCCCTTAATATTTGGAAGTCAGAATCTTGGCCTTCCAGCTAGTGGGACATGGGAAACCGTTGACTGCTTGCCACAGTGCTGAGCAGAGACAGGAATATGGTGAATTTGCTCTGATGCTCTTAAGATGACTCTGGGTTAGCTTATTGCTCTTCTGTAAGAGAAAAAGAAATGCCAGTGCCCCTGATTTGGAGAACTTGAATTCTTGACCTGACTGGTCCTATCTTTCTGTGGGCACAAGTGTTGAATGTTGAGGCTGTATAATCCCATGTCACTGTCCCAAACAATCCCCATTTCCTCATCTGTTTCAAAAGGCCCATTTATTACAGGCTTTATGGAACAAACTCATAGTAATTGACTTGCTGGAGAATGACCACTTTTAACATACAAAGAGATTTTTAATTCTTGGTTTCTGACAGGGAAGCCACGTTTAACCTTTTTTTTTTTTTTAAATTTCAGAATATTACAGGGATACAAACGTTTTGGCTACATGAATTGCTTTTGTACAGCTTGAGTCAAAGTTATAAGTGTGTCCATTACCCAT